CTCGACTCAGCTCGGCTTTTGCAGCCCTATTTATATGCCAACAACAAATGGGAATTACAATGCTTTTCACCACTTGAGGTGACATAAAAGGAGCTCATGTAACAGAGTCAAAGTACATTATATGGTTTTACAAAAATGGTGCAGTGTTTATATGGATTAATAACTCAGTTCTTAATTGTTCTCAGTTAATGAAAGGAAAGAATCCTAGAAACAAGTAACAAATGGAAGAAAGTTAAAAAAATAAGTTGAATCTAAGATAAGCTTGTCTTCATTTGATCTTCTCTACTGCAAAGATTATTAATTCACCCAAACTCAGTAACAGAAAAGGGGCAATGAACAGAGAGATATCATAATAATATACCTGTTACACATTTTGCCCACCGAGAGCTTGAAAATCCCTTCACCACTAGCTTTCAGTGTGCGCCTCAAATCACCATCCGTAAATGTACCGAGCAAATGATATTCATCGTCTATAACAAGAAGGCATCCGCATGCTTTACTCGTCAGCTCAACCAACTGATCCATTATCAAATCATGTTCCCTACATACTGGAAGCTCTTCCTTCTTCTTCATAAGATCCTTCACCTGCCACCAACCAGAAAGCGTCGATATTCTTGAAACTGACAAAAACAGCTTTCTAGTTTTTGGGAAAGTCTCAATAAGTTAAAAATAACTATATATGAAACGAGTGCCATAATTCAACCAAGAATGAGTAAAATGTAACTCAAAAGCCATCGAAATTAATAATAATTTTTCTCCGGCTATTTTCGAAGCATAAATAACAACAGCATCTCCTCCATTGTACAATCTCTTTCCCCAATGTACAATTTATACAACAATTAGAAGCTACGAAGCTCAAGACAAATGTGTTTCAAGCTGCAAACAATAATGGCTGAAATTTCAACGTTTCTTCACAAAATTTCCTCACAAAACCAACGAGTATACAAACTCTCACCCAAATCACAAGCCCAAACACATGAAAGGAAAACAATTTAAAAAATCACCTTAAAAATCAAGCTTTTTCCAATCCTCCCCGCTGGATGGTTGGCAGCATATTCCCGCTTGCTCAAATTCCTCGCCCCCATGAGCGCGATGGCCACCGTATCCCCAAACACCATCTGTATGGCCGTCGACGTCACCGGCGCCAGATCAAACGGACACAGCTCGCGCTCGAGCGGCAAATGGACGTTCAGATCGCACGACCCCATCAGCGCATTGGGCCTCGCCGACGTCACCGATATCAGGTAAGCCCCTTTGGCCCTCGCGCACGGCGCGAGCCTCACCAGCTCCTCCGAGTTCCCGCTCTTGCTGAAAAGCACCAGCAGGTCGCCGGGATACAGGATGCCGATGTCTCCGTGAAGCGCGTCGACGGGGGGAAGGAACCCGGATCTGACGCCGAGGGAGACGAGGGTCTGCGAGATCTTCTGGGCCACGAACCCCGATTTGCCGACACCGGTGAAGAAGATGGTTCCACGGGCGTCGAGGAGGGCCTGCGTGAAGGCTAGGGTTTGCGTGGCGTCGAGATTGTGGAAGAAGTAGTTGAGGTAGGTCTGCTGGCATTTGAAGAGGTTGGTCAGATGGGCTTGGTCCAATTTCGATTTGGATAGATTCTTGTCTTGTTCATCCGTGAATGGGAGCGGTGGAGGGAGAGAGCCCATTGTTGGTTGTCCTGTTTCGAGCTTGGTGGTTATGGCGATTTTCTTCAGGAAGGAGGAAAAAGTGCTTTGCAGACTGGTGGGAAAAAACTAAAAAAAGAAAGAGGGAGCTAGAAAAAAGAGTTGTTTGTACAGTGCGCTGTTTTGGTGGTACGCTGCTAATTAAAAAATCAACAATGCAATCTTCTTGTGTTGACCAATTGAGAAAAGGTTTCAATAGAGTTTTATTTATTTATTATTTGATAAAGTTGCAACTCTAATGTAGGAGTTCGAAATTTTATTTGTCACAAGATAGGTTTTTTCGAAAAATACAATTACGAAATCATTCCGTTAAGATTTTTAACTGTTAGATGCACATGCTACATTAATCTATATGTGCATCTAATGGTTAAAAATTTCAACGGAATAGTTCTGTAATGGGATTATAGTATTTTCTTTTTTTTTTATATGCTTCATGATTCTTTTATTAGCTCGGAGATATATCGATTTTTTACATCGACGGCTCAATATGTACATGTAACATTAATTCATATTCATTTTCACTTTCACTTGTTTTGGAGAAGTATTTGACAACACAAGTTACCCTCACTAAATTATTACAAGTTTTCAAATCATTTGGTACATAGCTAAGTTTAGCTTCAAAATTGGCTTATAATTATGGCAACAAAAATGTAAACTTAGATAGCCAATGTTATTTATGTATGGATATATACACACATGCTTATTTAAGTAACTCATATCCTTTTTACTTTGAACGTGTGTTGATCTAAAAGTAAAATAAACGACAACCAAAATATAGTCCAAATTTACCATGTTTACTTACATATGTATCTACACAATTTCCATCATTTTCCTGAATAACGATTAGGGCTGTAAACGAGCTGAACCGAGTTTGAGCTTAAGGTGCTCGAGCTCGAGCTCTTAACGAGCCGAGCCGAGCTCGTTAAATAAATGAGTTAGAATTCGAGCTCGAGCTTCGCTTGTTAAGGCCTCGAGCTCGAGCCGATCTTGAGTTTAACGATCCAAATTATAAAAAGTTATATAAAAAATCTCTTTTCGAGCCTTAACGAATCGAGTCGAGCTCGTCTCCTTAACCAAATGAGCATTGAATGAGCTCGAGATTGACTCGTTAAAACCTTGAATTTTGAGTCTTAAAGAATTGAACCAAACTCGTTTAATTTAAAAGCAGTAATAATGATTCTACAATAATATGGCACCCACTAGCAATTTTCCTAAAGTATTAAACAAAGATATATACATTAAAGTGTTGCAATAGGTTTTGCATTATTTATTTATTTATTTTTCTTCTAAAAGCATAATGGTCTTATTTTTATCAAGCCCATATGGAATGTATGTTGCATTCAATTTTTATCAAGCCCATATGGAATGTATGTTGCATTCAATTTAAGGTCCGACTGAGTTGTAACAAATATTGAATACTAACCCATTTAACAGATAGATGTCCCAGTCTGATCTATTTACCATTAAAACTGTAGGGCCTCATTTAGAGACGATGAGATTGGACAAATTCACGTCACATTTTTAAATACAAATTATTCTATGTTTACCAATGTGGATAAAAGTTTATGATAAATACATTAAATTATCGATTTACTGTTTTCTTGTTGTCAGAACTCTTTTCCTTCACGCCAAAGAGCCCACCGAGATCTATTTCAGTATTCGAAACGAAAGACTTAAATTAAATAAAATTATTTAAATTAATATTTTATAGATTAAATAATATTATTTTAAATTATTTAAATTAATATTTTATAAATTAAATAATATTATTTTAAATTAAATAAAATTATTTTAGATCTAATAATATTATTAAAATTAATAAAAGTATTTTAAATTAAATAATAAATTTAAATTAATATTTTATAAATTATATAATATTATTTAAATTAAATTAAATTATTCTATATTAAAAATATTTTTATATTAAATAAAATTATTAAATTAATATTTTATTGATTAAATGTTATTATTTTAAATTAAATAAAATTATTTTAGATTAAATAATATTATTTTAAATTAAGTAAAATTATCTTAAATTAAATAAAATTATTTAAATTAATATTTTATTAATTAAATAATATTTTTTTAAAATGAATTAAAATATTGTACATTAAACAATATTTTTTTAATTTAAAAATAAATAATTAATATTTTATAGATTAAATAATATTATTTTGAATAAATAAAATTATTTTAAATTAAATAAATGTCATTTAGGTCCAATGATAATTTAATCATACCATAATGACCGGATATTTTTATCCCGCCAACAAGGATACACGTGTGCGCCATCTCATGCCACGTCATCTGTATCTTTATCTCAATCCGATATAGTAAATGAGTGATAAAAGTTGGTTAACCAACCTCATCCCATCCTATCAAGGCTAATAAACGAAGCATAGAAAGTATATCTTATATAAAAATATAATATTATATTTAAAATTTTTATAAAATATTATTATATTTATCCAATCACATCCAAGTCCCAACGTGGTGTAGATTATTATTATTATTATTATTATTATTATTATTATTATTATTATTATTATTATTATTATTATTATTATTATTTAATGACTTGGTGGACAAGTTAATGTTTAGGGTTAGGGGCCTTATATAAAGGACTACTTCTAGTTTATTTTCCTTGGTTGTTTATGAATGAAAATATGAATTATATCGTGTTTAGATGTTCTTGAGATTGAGATCTCATTAATATCGTCCCACTCGTACGCTTCCCTACATCACAACGTACAGAACGTCTGCAGGCCCATATGCATTTGATAGGTGGAGTACATTTAAATTTTTTTAATCACATACTATACCACATAGATTTTTTTTTTTTTTAAAAAAAAATACCATATATTTTTAAACCAAGTAGTAATCCTTCAAATTGAGTGCCAACGAATCGGATCGAATTGAGTTCGAGCTTCAAATGTTTAAATTTGGGTTTGTACTTTTGGATCAAATTGAGTTCGTGTCTTAAGGAACCCATCTTCAGACGAGCTAGAGTAAAAATTCATAAAATTATGTAAAAAAAAAAAATTATTATCAAGTCGAGATAAGTTTCAATGAGTTTGAACTTGACTCATTTATCAGCCCAAGTGAATGTTAACGAGTTTAATCTTGACTTATTTATCAAACAAGTTAAAGCTCATATATCAAACAAATATAACCAAGTAGAACTAAGATGACCTCAAAAGCTCTCGTTTTGACTTTTTTGATTCATCCATTTTGCTATGTATCTAGACATAAATATTTATGTCTAGATACATAGCAAAATGGATGAATCAAAAAAGTCAAAACGACATTTATTTTAAAAAGGAGGGAATATAATTAATTAAAAATAAATAAATTAGCCAATTATCCGTATTGTTTATTTTTATTTTTGGTTCCACAAAAAAGTGGACAGACTCCCGAAAATTAAAATAGCAAACAACAAATCATTGTTTTTGTAGCATTTAAATTGTTCTTGCTAATAGTAAGTATAGTTTACTCACGAAAGAGGAAAAAAAAAAAAAAGA